TGTCAACAAACTGGTTGAGTCGAAACGGAAGTGTCGTATAAATTGTTGTATAATTTAGGAAGGACTCTAATTCTTGGCCAAATTATTCGAGTATAACCTGGTTTGGGTCAGTTTACGCTTTATAATCCGCGAAGCGGATTATAAAACAGCGTAAAGTGACACAAACCAGGTTATACTCGAATAACTTGGCCAAGAATTAGAGTCATTCCTTATAATTTAATTTTAAAATCATTAAATAACTATGGGTGTAAAATTCCGTTGCTTTTTATTAGTTCAAATTTGCCGCTCAATAATACAACCGCAGTAATGGAAGTGATGGGAAGCGAGGGGAGGTAAAAACTGATACATAGGCCTAGCAGCCTTGTTGTTTGTCTTCATATGGTAAGATCGAATTATTATTTGAAGTTAAAGGTACACTGTACATTTATTAGTCCCCTACCGGTGAAACCGGAGGGGACTATAGGTTTCCTCTGAGTCTGTCCGTCCGTCTGTCTTTCTGTCTGGCTGTCTGTCCGTCCGTCTGTCTGTCTGTCTGTCCCTCTGTCTGTCTGTCAGTCTGTCCCACTTGGTTTTCCGCACTTTTTTCCTAAACGCTTGCAGATATTGAGCTGATTTTTGGTATGTGAGTGTATCTTGATGAGTTACAGATCAAGTTTGCATTTCGTTCCGCTTCATTGAATTTTGACGGAATTACGGCCTTTTCAATTTTTAGGGGTTTTCCACAATTTTCTTCTTAACGCTTTCAGATATTGAGCTGATTTTTGGTATGTGACTTAACCTTGATTAGTTATAGATCAAGTTTGCATTTCGTCCCGCTTCATTGATTTTTGACAGAATTATGGCATTTTCAATTCTTAACGGGAACCAGATTACACTTGCCGGTAGGGGACTAGTATTGCTAATGCAATACTCTCAGAATGCTTGTTAAATCTGGAATTTTCCATGAATCCCGAGGACTGGAAATGAGAGGATTGTATGGATACAGATGATTCAGCTGGTTGTTGTTGTTGTTGGGGGGGGGGGGGGGTCCCCATACCAAACCAGGTTATACAGAAATAATTTGTGTTCTTTTTTGAATATTAACCAATCAGAGGCTAGAATACAAACAAAATTAAATTATTAGGTTATAGCCAATGGAAATGTATTTTGGTAATGATGTGTTCGAATGGGTTTACAGATATTTGTCGTATTCGTTTTCTTCGTTCGAACCAAGATGTTAAGTACTACTGTGTGGTCTGTTCAAAGGCTTTTCCCCGGTAGACAAATTTAAGGTGTTTAAAATACGGGAAAAGGGGAAAGAGGCGTAGATGGTTACAGATAGAAGACTACTGTTTGGAAAAAAAATGTATAATTTAGAAAATAGTACGTTATACTCTGTCATGGTCAGGGACAAAGATGTATACTCGTACATGTCTGGTTCTACATACAGTGTACTTGTAAATTGATGGTGGGAGTATACAATGTAGATGCTCCGTAATGCTGAACGAAAGTAAAAGGATTTAAAACTATTGACTGGAAGTATCTAACAGAAAGAAAAGGAAGAATAAGATGTAGATAATTTTAAACTTAATTATGCTGCGAATGATGATCCTTAAAATTGCTATTAATTCAGCACATGCAAAGAAATGGAATCAACACACATTAAACTGTTCAGATATTCCCGACCCTACTGCCTTCTTAAGTATTTAAGAACTGTTCATTTTTCAGACAATGATTCAAACAATCTATTTGAACTAATGTCCTTCCTCATATACGTTATTTTAATAAATAAAATATACAACATGACTTTCTTAAGATAGTCATGTTGTATATTTTATGTGTTAAAATAAAGTATATCAAGAAGGACACTAAGACACCATAGGTTCTCCACACAAATTTTCCGAACAAAGAACTAATCCGTCTGAACAATAGCTAATTTGTCCGAATGAATATCTAATTCGTCCGCACGAATATCTAATTTGTCCGAACAAATTTCGAATTCCTCCAAACAAATATCTTATATGTCCGAACAAATATCAAATTCGACTGAACGAATGTCTAATTCGTTCGAACAAATATCTAATTCGTTAGAACGAATAACTAATCAGTCCGAACGATTTTTTTCTAAGTCGCCCAAACGAATATACATACATGTATGTTTATCTCGTCTGAACTAATATCTAATTCGACCAAACAAATATCTAATTTGTCCGAACAAATAAGTAAACTATATTTGTCTGAACGAATATCTATTTAATAAATGTAATTTGTCCGAACGACTTTGTAATAGTCCTAGCGAATTTCTAATTCGTCCGAACGAATATCTTCTTTGTCCGAACAAGTATCTAATTTGTCCAAACAAATATTTAAATATTTGCTGCTTTTTATCTGGCCCTCCAACGGCGCCGAAATAGGGGCTGGGGCCCATGCCAAGAAATTGAAAATTTCAAGGTCAATTAAGCTAGATTGGGATTTGAATAAAACACCCGTCTTATGAAAAGCAATTTCAAATAAATAAACAATTCTTATAACAACTCAAGAGAATTTAAGGTATGATTTATCTTATACAAAAGTGGTACGAATTATCTAATTAATAAGGAATTCAAAATGACTGACCAACAAAACGCTTCATTTTATTGAGAAACGTGAAATAAATAAACTGATTTTGATCACATTGTCAAGCTTAGGAAGTTTTTTTTTAATTTCATTTTATTGGGAAATTTTCCAATACATTTTGGAAAGATAGAGATTTATTTCTCTGGCGAATTTTGGCTCCAGATCTATCCTAAAGTTCAGTGACATGCATTCATTCAAACACCTTTTATTTTTTATTTTCAAAGGTAAAAAACAAAACTGGAACTTATCGACAAATTTTGTTTGTATATTTAGTGAGTATTTTTACTTAATTTTGAACCCTGCAACATGTCCAGAGCACATCTGGTTTATCTGTTTCGTCTGTAAAGTAAGTTAAGTCCGGTAATGTGTGACTTAGGCTTCATTCTTTTTTAGAAGTATTTCAATAATTTTGGATTTAGGCAGGAGCCTCCAGGGTGTTGCAATATATTGTAGCTGATTAGAATTCATTCAGCTTACGCTGTAGAAGAAAGTGTTTGATTGTCATAAATCATGATCGCGCATTCATGAACTAAAAATGCTTAATATTTAAGAAAAATGGAAAATATGCATTGTTTTGATAAAAGACATTAAAACTACTGAATAAATTAAGAAGTCATGATAGAAATTTAAAAAGCAAAACCAACACCAAAGTTTTGTCTGTTCATGTTCAGTGATGTGTATAATGTAAGCAAATCGAGTAACATCCTCGATGAAAAAAATAATTAAAACCTCGATGTCCGGAAGCCCATGTATACAAACACAGGTGTTTGTTATAAGGTTATGAAGATGGTCATTGTCATTGAAAATTTAGAATTTTCGTGAAAGTTCAGTAAATTAAATTGAGGTTACATGTATTTGTCAAATACGTGGAGAAATAAAAAAAGTAAAAACAAACAAACAAACAAAAAAAACAAAAAAAACAAAAACAAAAAACAAAACAGCAATACAACTGTGCATGCCCCTTTGATACTGGCTTTCATAAGCAAGTTATCACTTTTTCGTTTAAATAAAAACATTCGAAATGTTTCTCCTAGCAAAATATTAATATACCACTGAAAATCAGCATGCATTCTAAATTATTTATTTTAACAATTTCCAGGTACATGTAAGCAAAAGTATGAACTTTATCTAGTAATTAAAAAATGTTCTCATCCCACGTTTCAAATTCACACAAAAACATATACCGAATACCAGTAGTCTTTTTTGTTTCTTACACACACAAACACTCTCTCACACACCCTCACACACAAACACAATAAAAAAAAACCTAGATGTCTCTATCTCACACAACCACAAATAGATTCTCCTCTCTCTCTGTGTGTACACAAACCTGTGAATGTTTTTTTTTCTCTCTCTCTCTCTTGTATATACGATCACAAATGATTGAATCATACAAAATAACTCTTTCTCTCTCCCTCTCTTCCCTGTAAAAAATTTTGCAAACTAAACAAAGTTGACCTGTCAGCAAGGGCCCTGGATAGAGATGTGGTGAAAATGGATGAGAAAATTGTATTTAGCTTAAATTCATAAAGAAAAAAAGTCGTTTGGAAATATATATGAAGAATGTGACACAATTGCTGTGAATATGAAATTTAAATACAAATGAGATTATTATCCAACTGTTAGTAAAAAATGATAGCATGATAACCTTTAATCTGCTGCAGGCAAGATAATTATTAGCTCCAGGGGGCTCATTGCATCATTCATCGTTTATACTAATTAAGTGTACAACTGGAACATTTTCAGCATCTTTGACTGTTTTGCCAATTTATTCTTATATTACCGGTAAGTTAGGGTTCTACTCCACAACCCCAGCTCTACTCCACCATCCCAGATCTACTCCAACACCCTAGCTCCAAACCGTATGACAGACATGTATGGAATCAACATTGGTATCAAAATATGTCTTACTGCCTAACCCTAAACAAATTAAAACATCATGAGATAATCATAAAGAAAGTTATTATTAAAAACAACTAAATTTTGTGGAAGTACAGAATGACAGATGGACAAGCAAAAAGTGTGATACTATAGGGCACTCAAAAATTCTTGTGGGGCCCTACTAATACAGTTCAATAAATAATCTAAATTGTGTATAAAGAGATAATATGAATACATGTATACACATAGAAACACAATGAATAAAAGTAGAAAAAGTTTACTTTATATTTACACTATACATGTACATATTAATTGGTTACAAAATATAAGATGATAATAAATGACTAGATGTATTGTGTATTTGGTAACAAGAAAATCTTTAAATTTATGCAATAAGCTTTTTAAAAAAATACTAGTATTAATGCAGAAATGCAAAAAGACTTTAGATTATAAATTATGAATAGATAGTATAAAGAAAAATAAATTCAAAATAAAACAAAATAATAATAATACATGTCTATAAACAGAACAAACTTGACTAATGAATACAGGGTTGTATTCACCCTGAGTTATTTTCACCCTATTACACTTCAAGTGTTGACTTGAAAGTGGTTTCACCCCACTTTGCATTCATGTAGACATGGTGGTGGTTTTAAAGAGCCATTACTTTCTCTCTGTTGAATTTGTCCTCTGACTTCTAGGGCGAAAGGGGCAATGATAAAATGACAGTGAAAATTTCCCTGTATATAACATATCTTCCACAAGTACATGTATAATAACTGTACTGGTACTTAACAATCTTAACTACAAGTACAAAAATTGAAGGTAATTTTGTGTAAATCAAGACTAGTACACCTTTAATGGCAACTCAGAATCCAAAGTCTCCATCTATATCATAGTCATAATCATAAATGTCATCATCATATTCATAGGCATTGTCTGAGTCATGATCAGAAGGTGAGGTGCCACTCTCCTCTGTGTCCTGGTCGGAAAACCTCATGGTCACCTGCAGGGCTGAGGTAAAGGAGTCATCATACTGTGTGAAGGTTTCCAGTTCTTGAATGTCTGAGCGACTCATTTGTCCTGCTGTCACCAATGATATATTGTCAATTGGAGGAGGTTTGTGAATAACTGCTGAGGGGAACATTTCACTGATTTCAATCATAGATGTGGTAAAAGGAGCCCCATTACTCAAGAGGAAAATGCCTGAGTCCGTGGCAGCTTGTATATGGAAGCCATAGGAATCTGTATGAATGTCTGTTTGCAGGCCTGTGCCTGGTAGTTTCCTCAGAGATGTAATCCACTTGCATCTGACTTCATCTAAAACCAGAGCTGGTTTTCCTGGGAGAAATATCAAGAGTGTTTCATCTCGAACACAAAGAGTGTATGGTTTTGCAAAATCATCATATGATATTTCTGGTGGTGAAATTTCCCATGAGTTGAAAATCTTTGACCGTGAGTCAAACATTGCAAATCCCACAGATTTCTTTATGCAGAATTCTTCTGAAGGGCCTGTCCTGTGCCTAAACCACAAGAAAATGAATCGGTCATTCTTCACAGCCATTCGAGCAAGGGAAATAAATCTTGCCCCTGGAATCTGGAAGCATTTGTACTGAGAGTTATTCATATTGCACAAAAACAAATTTCCAGTGCCTTCCTTATTTCCTGTAATGTAAAGGTGAGGTCCACAAGCTACAATGGCAGGAGGTACTGATTTATGATTGGTTAAGGTGGTTCTATAGCAAGGGTTGTAGAAATCTCCTGTTTTAAATGAGTAAAGAGTTGGTTGTCCTTTTAACAGATCCAGTGCTAGGACATTGATTTTCAACATGTCTGTAGGATAAGGAAAACTTGAGCAAAGATATAAGTACAAATAATTCCCATGGGCGACCATACTGGACACATTTTGCCTGGATGGTATGAAGTGAATAAGTTTATCTCCTAACATGTTGAAATGACACCATTTTTGTTCCAAGATGCTGTATACTAACATTTTGAAGAATTTCATCCCTGGATTACTGACAACAGCATATAAGACAGGGCTTACCCCATCCCCATAATTAATGGAACTGTGCAGAACATTTTCATGTCTGTGACTCAATTTATTCACTGACTTTTCATTGTGTTTCTCACAAAGAGAAGACTGCATGTGAGTTTTCTTCTTAGTTTCAAAACTTGCAATAGTACTTGTAACTTCACATGAATCATAGAGACAAAGCTTGATGCAAGACACAAGATCATCAAAATAAATAACTCGTGATGATTTGTCATGATCTATCCATCTCTTTATCAGTCTCTTCAAATCATTGTAATCTGTATTATGAACAACTCTGGGGGTTTCTAACAATCTAAACAAGTTCTGCGGAGATAAGTCTAAAATTTCATCATGGAAAATCAAATAGTCATGAAATCTAGACTCAATTATCTTTTGACATGAACCAGCAACTTCCTGAAGATTGTGATTTTCTGCTAGAAAATTAACTCTCAGGCAATTTGAAAGGTCGAGATTTCCTAAATCCAAGTAAAATTGCCTACAAAAATCCTTCACGTCATCCAACAATAAAAAATCTGAAATTTTAAGAATGTCTTCCACATTGGATACATTTAACGTGATAGCCCCAGTGTACAAATAATCTAACACCAACCCAAATATTTCTGGGTCTTCTAACATCAATGATTCTGACAAGTTAATAAAATCGCATGTTTTTTCTCTCATTTCACACGTAAACATGGATAAGAAATACGGACTCCACAATGCCAGTATTGCCTTGTGTGCTCGGAAGTCCTTTCCATGTAAACATAACGTGATATCACACAGCTCCCCAGTCTCCCTTTGTCTTTGAAGAGGCCGGATGATGAATTCTGTCGGATTTCGTACAAACTGCTTGCGCTCTGCTCTCATGTAATGAGACATTGTTCGTAGCCAAGGGTATTTAAACCATGTTGGATGGAAGTTGTTATATCAACAAAACGCTCACGGGTTGCATTTCCATGTATCTGAAACTCAAAGGCAAATAAATTATGCACACAATCTTCATCGATTTGTTTTGACTGGAAATATATATAGGAACATAATGATCAAGTAGAGCACGGGTAGTATTATTTTTCCGGAAATAATAATAAAAAAAGAATCAGCAAACACTCGTAAAGTTTCGGTTGTATACGAAAACTGTACAAAAAATTACATTTTATCTCCAATTCTTAAATATATCTTTTTTGGTTTTTAGAAATGAATTAGATAATTTTAAATATTTCCGGTTTGAGGACATAATATCGTTATCTACAGGATGTAAACTGTGGCCTTCGGTAGTGTTATCTGTGTAACAGAACAAGTACTTGAAGATGATCACAGAACGGATATTTGATCTATCATATGAAAGGTAAAACATAAATTTTATCTTGCTATGATTATTAAGACAATTAATCGTAAAAAAAAAATCTTTGCAATTTTTCTCAGTATTTCGGTGAAGTCTATTTCTTCATGTTACCTGGTTATGGAGCAGAAAACTTTGTGCTTGCTACATATGTACTACTGTTTATTATACAATTACTTGTACTGTGCTATATATTTGGTTATATAGTGTTTCTTTTGTAGATAAAACTAATTAAAGCGTTACACAGTACATCAAGCATTATTTGATCTACAAATTATAGATTATATAAAGAAATGACTTGGTAAAGGGGAGGGGGGTATAGTGGTGGGTTCACATAATTTGTTTACTGAGGTTTTTCTACGGTTCTACTAAATAGAGAAGTCTAGAGAACTATTTGGTGAATTCAATTTAATTTCATGCATAATTGAGTTGATTTTTACTTCAATTAACAAATCATATTCTATGTATAAAATCAATAACAAGGTCATTTTGTGAATGTTTTCCCTCTAAATAGTTGAAAACCGTAACTTTTTAAAACAATTCATTATACACAGGCGCGGATCCAGGAATTGAAGTTAGAGGGGGCGCCAAAAGTAGGCAGGGGGTCTGGGTCCTGGATTCTAGAGATTTTGTAGGGTAAAGATGAGGTCTACCGAGTGGACATTTTTACATTTTCTCGACGAAACTATGATTTATGCTAACTTTTACAATTTTAGGGGGGGGGGGGGGCGCGCCGGGCGCGCCCCCCTTAAATCCGCCACTGATACAGCAAACCCTACAACCTCCGTTTCAAGAACCCATGGTAAGCCGTTAAACTTTGCACTCATAAAAGTTCAGCGGCCTGCATCATTTGAAGGACAATATTTATTTATTTGTATGTTTAAAAAAAAACTGATAACATATCAAAGATATGATCTAATCAGACATATGCGCAGTTTTCACAAACAATTCTCTATGACATAGATCCGAGACTCTGACTAGAAATATAGATCTATGACGGTATTATATGCATGATAACCTATGATACAGTAATTAACACATCACATCAGGTATGATTTACTCTAGCTTCCGCCATCACTGCACTTGTCAATCTCTCCAAGAAAATAGACAGAGATAATTTTGCGTGGAATATTTGTGTCATTTACAGAGAGAAAGGAATCAGGATGTTAATGTTTGTTCAACATACACATCAAAATAATTAAAAGGTAGATCAAGAATTTTTTTTACGAGGGGCGGGGGGGGGGGCACAAATTTTCGAATGGGAAAAAAAGTCAGACAAAAGAAAGAAAGATTGCTTAACACACAAGAGCTATGTGTGTGTGTGTGTGTGTGGGTGTGTGTGTGTGTGTGTAAAGCACTAAAAATGACCAACAACACGAACAATAAAAATTGTCAAATTTTCGGGACGCCCTGTCCCTTCCTCAGGACAAAGAAAAAAAGTTAAGAAGTCAAAAAAAAAACAAAAAAAACAAGGAAACAAAAAAATAAAAAACGACTAGCACTACTACTAAACTACCAAACACTATGTATTTACAATGTTACATTGTACATGTTTAATTTGATTGATTGATTGATTGTATGTTGTTTTACGTCCCGTTCGAGAATTTTTCACTCATATAAAAGATAAAAGATACCGCAGAGTCTGACACATCTGTTTCATATTTGGATATTTTACTTGAAAAAGACGTTAATGGTATTCTAACAACCAAGCTTTATGATAAACGTGATGACTTTAACTTTTCAATTGTCAACTTCCCTTACTTGTGCAGCAATATACATTCATCACCTGCATACGGGGTATATATCTCTCAGTTGATTCGATACGCAAGAGCAAGCTCTACGTATGTACAATTTCTAAAACGAGGTAAATTATTGACAAACAAGTTGATGAAACAAGAATATCAGTTGTCTCGTTTAAAGTCATCATTTCGTAAGTTCTGTGGTCGATTTAATGACCTTGTCAGCAAATACAATTTATCATTGAGTCAAATGCTGACTGACGCTTTTCATATTAATTGTTAGGCCATTATTTACACACTGAATTGTCGACGGATTTTTCCGTTATTTCCTGATCATGACAAGAAGCACACGGCCGGTGTGATCGGTCGGCAGGGGATGCTCACTCCTCCATGGCACCTGATCCCACCTCTGATGTTTTGTAGGTCCGTGTCTGCTCTGCTCCTATTTTGTGTTGTTTAATATGGACTTTTGAGCTTGAATACTGTTCGTTATCTCCATATATTTCATAGAGACGGCACCATATACCCGTGAAGGGCTTCAAATTTAGACCTTCACTCTGGGCCATTGAGCAGTGAGGGTTCTTTATCGTGCCAACGCATGTCGTGACACGGGACCTTGGTTTTTAAGGTCTCATCCGAAGGACCCGCAACTTTCACTTCAAAGTACCGAGCGCTTGGCGAAGGAACAGTTGTTACCTATTTTTTATCGACTTAAGTTAGTAGCGGCCGTGATTCGAACACACGACCTTCCTATCACGGAGCGAGCGCTCTACCGACTGAGCTGCCGTGACGGTTTTAATTTGAAGTTTTTATAAGGCCAACATTTTTTTTATTTTCTGTTTTACGGGAATTTTTTTCAAAAATTTGAGTCGGGGGGTCGAAATAAAAATAAAAATAAAAGCTCGAAATTTAAGCAGTCGGTCAGAAAAATAAAAATAAAATGAAAAAATGCAATAAAATTTTTTATTTTTAATTAAGGACGGATTTTTTTAGTATGACCTTAATTTGTTAGGAAAACAGTGTTATATGAAAATCTTATGTATACAAAACACAGAATTGGTACTGTTAATGTATGAATGAACTATTTTAAATTCAACTTCCTCTTAGATATTTGGGACAGGGGGTGCATTTCTAGTACTAATAGCTGGTAGTTTGTAACATTAATGCGAATCAAACATACAAATCTATAGTCTTCCCTCAGTTGTCAAATATCATAGTGTCACCAAAGTAAACCTATAGGACTTATGTCACACCCCTCATAAACTTTTCAGAATCTTTTATTTTTCGGTATTCAGCAAATAACAAGATCAGGACTAGCTCTGGCAAAGTTATGGCGAAAATACAGTGAGACATTCAATGTATCAGCTAAAAGAAATTAATTCACAGAAGTGCACATGAGACATGATAAAAAGAAAAGTTGTATAAAAATTTTTCAACGCAATGCCAATTAATATATATATACGTAGGTGGGGAAAAAAACGTACCGCAGCATCTCTTTTGAAAACATATTCAATCTTCCTCAATCTGTAGTATATATATGATCTCTTTTTATCCTTATATTTTTCTTTCTGTGCATGCTAACTTTCAACATAATTGTAGAAAATACTAGGGATGTCAACGAATATTCGAGTACTCGACTATCGTTCGAACATACCGACTATCGACTAAAATTTCTTTAGTCGCTTATTCTTTAAAAATCTGTTACCGGAAAGTAATTTTTAATTCAAGGTAATAAACTTGCATTAATCCATTTCATTTATTTAAGGAATAACTGTCTGATTTTTTGGATTCATGATGTGATCAATCGAGTGGCTTGCGTGATAATTTGCATAAACGCCGAAGGCGTTTATGCATAAAATTATCACGCAAGCCAATCGATTGATCATCGTCATGAATCCAAAAAATCTGACAGTTATTCCTTATATTTACATGCTCCTGATTCTGCAAATTCCCGTGCTAATAGCCCCGCTTCTGTCTCTATTTGTCCCGCCCCGCACGTGATTTTTTTTAACCGCGCCTATCGATGAACCAGTAGATTTATGTAGAAATAAAGTATTTTTACAATTTGTAATTTTATTTCGGACAAAGACATTGGAAATGTAAATATATACAGATCAATGTTCTCTTAAGTAAAACTCAGGGTATGGTTTAACTGTTCAAAGGAAATTATTAAATTTTAAGGTTTTCCGTTTCAAACGGAAGACCTTCTACTGATTCTGATGGTTAAGATTATTATTAAGGTCTTCCGTTTCCAACGGAAGACCTTCTACTGATTCTGATGGTTAAGATTATTATTCTTTTTTTTTTTCTTCTTTTTCCTAGACGCCAACTTTGAGACCTCATATCTCGCTCATTTCTCAACGGATTTTGCTCAAATTTGCAGAGTTTATAGACGTTACAAAACTCTATCAGAATGCTGTCAAACAGTTCAAAAAGTCACATCCGCTTTTGAGTTATTGCCCTTTAAATGAAAATTTATTAGGCTTCATTTCCAGACAAAGGCTCTGAGACTACAAAAGCTGGAGCAGAAATTCTACCGAATTTAGATAATAGAAGGATTGAAGTTGTGCACATCGGTTTTTGTTTTTCGATTTCTGTATTCAAAATGGCGCTAATTAGGGGTCAAAATTTAGAACGCCTAAAAGAGCGAAAATTTAGACATATTTTCCTTTGTATCTTTAAAACTAAAAATATTTTGATAAGACATGTAGAATAAAAGTTGTGCACAATTTTAAGGCCTTTCATTTGACACCACTAAAATGGGGCTGGCCCCTCAAATTAGGGATCTGGAGCCCTTTATTGTTTTTGCTTTATAACTCAAAAACGGTAAATATTTCGAAATGGCTGTCGTTAAAAAAGTTGTTCTTTAACATCTTATTGATTTCATGAAAATGTTATT